CTCATCTTCCTCCATAGAACCTGCTTTCCCTCCAGGGTCCCTATGGTGGCAAATGGCCATATTCTTCAACCTGTGGCTTCAGCCGGAATCCTGTGTTAGTCATCCTTGACTCATGTCCTGATCATTCCATTCCACGGTGTCTCCTGGATTTTTCCACTGCTCTCCATCTCCACCACTGCCTCCATCACCAGCTGCCCCTTCTGCAGGCTATTCTCTCCTCAAATGCAAATATTCATGACACGCCTGAAAATTCCTCGAATACTCTCCCATTTCCCTTGTATAAAATTTAACTCCTTTAACCGTGATCTCTAAGACCCTGTATGATCTGGCTAATGCCCACTCCTCGGGCTCCATCTCATGCTGTTCTTTTCCCCACTCTACTTCAGCTCGTTTGAGTTTGAGTGGAGCGTTCATTCATTCATTCGGGCAACTAGATGTTTGTAGAGTGCCTCGTTTGTGCCAGGTGAGGTGGTGCTAGGTGCTTGGCTATGAACGAGGGGAGTGCCTCTGTCCTCATGAAGCCCCTCTCTCTAGGGTTTTCTCTCCCTGATTCAGGCTCTTTTCATCTGTTCCCTCTACCTGAACTCCCTGCTCTAAGACACACGTTCTACTCCCCTCAACTGTTAATTCCGTGTCATCATTCAGGTCAAAAGCAAATCTCATTTGCTCTCCCATAGGTATGAGGCTTTCCCATACCTCTCAGGCTCAGTTAGAAAACTTTATGATGCCTGGCTGGTGTGGCTCAGTGGATTGAGCACCAGCCTGTGAACTGAAAGGTTGCTGGTTTGATTCCCAGTCAGGGCACATGCCAGGGTTGCTGGCCAGGTCCCCAGTTGGGGACGTGTCAGAGGCAACCAGTTGCTGTATCTCTCACACACTGATGCTCCTTTTCCTTGCTTTCTCCTTCCCTTCCCCTCTCTCTAAAAGTAAAATAAAGTCCTCTGTGATTCTCATGTTCCTGAACTTGCTCTTCATCATTCATGTCTGTTCCCCGCACTTGACCGGAGGCTCCATGAGGTGGAAAACCAGATCTGCCTTGGTCTTCAATGCTTGGCACCATGCACTACTCATACCATTAACTCAATTCGTGTTGATTGAGTAAAAAGACGTGTCATTTTCATTTGGATCTGTTTTTAGAACATTTGAGGATGACATCTTAAACGCTGCCACGGACATAGTCACCCTAGTAATAGCCTTGCACAGGCAAGCCCACCATGCTCCAGAGCTGTGTTTTAAGGAGACCGTTGATTGCGACAGGTCCCTGGTTCAAGATAAAGTAAAGACCGAGGCTGCACAGACTTGCTGCTAAAGCCCTTTGGTGCAGTCCGCTCGTCTTACAGAAAAGTGGCCCATACTGCCCCACAAAGAACAGGGGCTTTATGTTGAAAGGGATCCTAGTTTCCAGTCTTGGCTACTGGTTGGGTTGTATGAACAAGTCATTCAACATTTCTGACCCTCGGCCTTCCTATCTGTAAGAAAGACAGGCATACAAATGTGTGTTGCTGGAAAAATGGGAGGGCTGATGAGCTGTCACAAAGGACCCGAGGACCGTTAATGTTAGCTTCCTTGCTAACCACAAGGCACTGTGGGTTAGTGGTTAGCAGTCTGGGTTCTGGGTCAGAGAGGTCACAGTCTGAGTCCCAACTTTGTCACTTCTTAGTTAGCTGACCTTGGGGGAAGTAATGTAACATCTCTGAGCTTCGGCTTCCTCAAGTGGGAAAGGGGCACAGAGTCATGCCTGCGTCTAGGGTTGTGAGCACTTATGTGATGCTAACGTGTGTGAAGAGCTTAGCCTGGAGCCTGGCACATAGTCAGCTGTCAATGACATGCACGGCCTCATGACAGAGACCGTAAGAGGGACAGAGAAACTGGGTCTGTGGTTCTGATCTTCACTGGTGACTTCATTTGGGAACTTACTGAGTATCTAATTTGTGCAGGGTTGTGGAGAAGGAGCTGTCCAACAAGGGCATGCACATAAGTAGGGAAGCTTTCATGTGCCAAGTGATAAAGATTAGTGGAAAAAATCAAGGAACTCAAAATCTTGTTAAATGAAAGAAGCTAAAAGCAAAAGAGTACATACCACACGATTCTGTTTTTACAAAGTTCTAGAACTGCCAATCTAAGGTGACAGAGATCAAAACAATGGTTCTGCTGAGGCATTGGCTAAGAGGGGGTGTGGGGGAGATTTGGGGTTGTTCTCTGTCTTAATCTGGGTAATGGACCCCTGGGTGCAGGCGAAATATGTAAAAATTCATCCAAAAGTTCACTTAAGATTTGTGTACTTTACTGTATGTAAATTATACTTGAAAAAAATGGCATCAGAGGACTTTGGAGAATGGAGTGATTTCTTCTAGCTAAGTGGACACTGCGGAGGCCGCCTGGCCTGGAAAGGGAACTGCAGGGGGAAATGGCTCCTTGCTCTCTCTTGGTGGCTCAGTAAGGGAGGATCCAAACAAAGTACTCAAACTTCCTTAATGGAATCAGGAATCATCAGTAAGTGGTTTTGGAGATTATTTGCCATCTGTTTACAGTGCAGAAAAAAAAAGTTTGGAATTATATAATTGCACAAGTCCCATTCGGGGAGGTAATTATCAAGTGTACCATGAGTGATCTATTTTTGGGCCTCATTGCTAGCTCTTCTGGCCCCTCATTCCTTTTGGCTAATGTGATTGAGAGTTGTTTCGCTGGTTCTTTTCTGTCCGAGGCAGCTGGGTGAGGGGAGGGGGCGGATGGGGCATGCAGAGTGGAATGATAAATCACTTTTCTGCCGTGTTTCACTGTTCACCAAGCACGGTGTACACAGCCTCTCCTTCAATAGCAATCTAGGAGGGAGGCGGGGGTATCGGTCACGGTTATTGATTGCAAGCAACAGAAACCAATTCTGGGTAGCTTAAGCAGAGAAGGAATGGACTGGGAGGCTATCAAATAGCTCATAGAAACTAAAGGAAAACTGGAGCCCTGGCCGACTCAGTTGGTTGGGCTTCATCCCGAAAAGTGAAAGGTTGCCGGTTGGATCGGTGGGCAGGGCGCATGCCTGGGATGGGAGTTCCATCTCCTGTTAGGGTGTGTGCAAGAGGCAAGGGATCAGCGTTTCTCTCCCTCTCTTTCTCCCTCCCTTCCCCTCTCTAAAAATAAATAAATAAAATTTAAAAATACATAAGAAAGATAAATGTAGCCTGGCAGCATTTTATATGCTCGGACAGATCTCATCTTGGTGGAAGCCTGCTGTTTTCTGACTGCCATGCCTACCTGGGAATGCATGTGGAGAGACAGCCAAGGCCAGGAGAGCTAACGAAGCTCTCTGCACCCCAAGACAAAGGGGAGTCTGCTTTGGGTGGCAAGGTGAGTAGCTTGTTGTTTTGTGTTGTTGTTTTTGTTGCTTTTGTTTGGTTATAAATGCTGTTCTTGTTTTCTTTCTTTGGGGGTAATGGTTTGGCCATAGAAAATAAACAGCAGGGACAGGAGACCTGATCTGAACAGGGAAGGCCGCCTAAGGTGGCAGGGGCTGTGGCGGGACTGTGGGAAGCCTGAGGGACCAGAGAGCCACGACCATGGGGCCTTCAGATGTTTGTGCTTGAGTGTTCTAGTGGGACATCAATTTTGAGTTTTCTTTACTGAATTGCAATTTCTTCGTGACTTTACCAAGTTGTCAGCAAGACTTGATAGCTGCCACAACTGGGAAATAGTCTGGGGCTGGTGTTGCCGGGGCACTGAAGGGAATAAGAGTGGCTCTGTCCTTAGGTGAAGGTGACTGGGAGTGTGGCAGCAGCCTGAGAACGTGCTCACAAGACAGCAAGGAGCAGCTGCTCAGATGCCGTGCAAACGAGGTGCTTGACTGTAGTTAAGCTACGAGTTTGGGGTTCAGACAGTCAGTCTCGTTTTGATTCCTGACTCTACCTTATAAGCTGTGTGACCTTACCCTCCCTGAGCCTCACTTTTAGTTTCTGTTCAGTGAGTATGACAGTCCCTACTGCATAGGGCTGCCATGGGTATGAGATGAGATGCTGTGTGCGTACTGCTTAGTATAGAGCCTGTCTCTTAGACTTCAGTTCGACCAGCTGAAATTGCCGTTTTGCATTCAAATAAGGTTAAGAGAGGCGAATTCATGTAGAACCTATTAAGGTACCAGTAAATACAGGACATTATTACTTTTATTACTGCTGTTATTATTATTATTCCTATTATTATTAAGTACCTCTCCTCCGGGAACCCTCAGAAAAACTGGCAGGAAGGCTAGCCTCCCTGCACTCACTCAGAGGCAAAGACTGAACTACGTGGTTCTGATGTTCAACCAGAGGGGGAGCCAGGTTGCAACTGTTTTCATTTGATAATAGTTTTTGTCACTTGAACCACTTACTAAAATACTCCTGCATTTAACTCTGTTTCTCTTACCTTTATTTCCCTTTCAACCCTGTCCCTCTCCAAATGCACTTTGTAGCCCGATTTCACCTGGACCATGGTCTGAGGAGGCCGGCCCTGTGGAAGCAGGTGAGGAGGAGTCTACTTAACCTGGGCTGCCAGGCTGCAGGGCTTAGGGCCAGGCCTCCGGGAGAGGCAGCGGGGAGGGAGGGGAGCCCCGGCTTCCTGGGAAGCCTGCAGCCCTCTCTGACGTCAGGGCCTGTGGGCAGCAGAGGCTGGCGGCTTCAGGGGGGCCCTGGAGGCTGCAGAGAGAGGAGGCCTTCTCCGGAACCCAGGCCTGAGTATGGAGCTGGGTGGAGAAAGATGGAAATGAACACCCACCTTGTTAACCTGTCTAGCCTTGCAGGGAGTGGGAGGCAGCTCAGGGTCAGGGTCTGGCAGGCAAATGGCCTGAAACGAGCTTTTCTAGAGAGAAGAACAGGACGGTTTTCTATATAGAACTATATGTGTGTGTGTGTGTGTATAAAGTAAACAAAATTACATTATTCCACTACCCAGAAATAGCCCCTGTTAGCATTTTTGGGTCAAGATTTCCTCACTTTGTTTTCTTCCACATTCACATCCAGGTCACCTGGCACTCAGCTGGAGTCCGAAGGTTGAGATAAAATGGCTTGAACGCTTTAGTCTGTGCCCAGTGGAAATTCTAATTCCCTTCTCAAAACTAAGTTTGTCCAGGGGGTGTAAGTGGGCACAGTCACCTCTGGCTCCTCCTTCCTAACTCCATGGATTTCTCCGTCTCTGCTCTGCACCCTGTGGCTGTTCTGGTGTCTAACTCCCATAGCGACACACCTGGTGGTAAGTAAGACCTGGAATTTAGCTCCTTTCCTCCACTTCCAGAAGCATCCCCATTCACAGGAAGCCCAGTGTGTATTCCAAACACCCCTAAGGTAGGAGGGACAAAGCATGGGGTTCCGGGACCAGAATACAAACCATTTAACATTGAATGTCGAGGTGCTGTTAGAAGTCTCTGGGTCCTTCGCCTCCAGCTCCTGCCTTGCTTCCTCTCCTCTCTGCCTTGTGGCTCCCTCCCCAGTTCTCGCTGTGTGTCTTTCTCATAGTCTAGAGCTAATGCCCTTGGAAGAGCCTGTGTGCTCCCTGTCTCAGGGGGTTTATCAGAGTGTTGTCTTAAAGAGGGACAGTCCTCTCCCTAAGGAGCCTGCTGCCATCCGTTAAGGTGACAGACAATTCCTTCCATCCTGCTAGACGCATCCATCCTTTTTCTTTCTTTCTTTTCTTTTTTTTTAACAAACATGAGCTCATTCTACACATTCTCTATGACAACAGAGCTGATACTCCTTTTTCCATTTTACAAAAGAGGAAACTGAAATGAAAGTTGTGGCCCTGGCCTAAAAGCTGCTCTGCCTGACTCTTCACCTGGCCAGGCCTCTGGGTCTGTCAGAGCTACGCCCTGGGGTTCTAGGCACTTCTGCAAGTGCCTAGAACATCTCTAATTAATGTGTTTAATGTTGCATTTGTTTTTTATTTATTGCTTCCTTCTCCCACTAGAATGGGAACTCAGTGAAGCCACAGACCGTGTCAGTTTTGCTCACTGCTCTGTCTTCAGAATTAATTAATCATATAGTAGGCTATCTTAGTCAGGGTTCTCCAGAGGAACTGGGCCAATAGGATGTGTGTATGTGGTGGGAAAGATTTATTTTAAGAAATTGGCTCATGTGATTGTGGAGGCTGGCAAGTCCAAAATCTGTAGGGAGGAGCTGATGCGATTCAAGTCAAAGGGGGTCAAGCTGGAGAGTTCCCTCTTGCTTCTGGAAGGTCAGGCTTTTGTTCTGTCAGTTCTTCAGTGGGTTGGCTGAGGCCTGCCCACATTCTGGAGGGCGATCTGCTTTCCCCAAAGTCCACCAGATTAAATGTTAATCTCACCCAAAACCACGCTCCCAGAAACCTCCAGAATAATGTTTGACCAAATATCTGTGCACTGCGGCCCATGACACGTAAAATTAACCGTCACAACAGTCGCATGGAGACTATCTGTGGACGGAGTGTCTGAACAAATGAATTAACTTTCGGAGGCTGAGAGTCTTGCCCGCATCACACAGTTGACAAAACAAGGCCGGTCTTCTGAAGCGGGTGCAGGCCGCTGTTCTTTCCACCCCACCGCACGTCTTCTTGCAGCGGTGGCCAGAGCCAGCCCTGTGCGGCCCTGGGCCTGTTGTTAGAGCACAGGAGACAGGCTCCTGCAAACACCTAATATTCCACAAAGGTCTACGTGCACGCCTGGTGTCATTACAAGGTGCTCCTGCCAGGCATTATTAAAAAGTATGCCTTTGGATAGAAATGTTCTCTTCCCGTGTGACCTGAACCAACTGAACATTTATTCTTTTACAAAAAAGGGAGCCTCACCTAAAACCTTCTCCTTGCAGGCACGAATCAGCTGAGGGCTGGACACTCTGGTGTGCAGATGAGGCCCTAACCCACTAATCTACTCATCAAATCCTCCACCAGTTCCCTTTGTGCTCTCTCCCCCCACTGCTCCAGCCAAACTAAGCTACTTCCTCTTCCCAGCACAGACCCTGCAATTAATTCCCTCCTCCGAGTTGCACCTGGTGCTGTTATCCCACCTGGGATGCACCGCCCCCACTTCTACATTTCATTCATTGTTGTTGTTGTTGCTTTTATTCGACAAATATTTCTTAAGCACCCAGGAGGTGGCAGGCACTGTCTTTGCATTGAGGACACTGTGACGAGTAAGAGAGTTAAGGTGTTTGCCCTTCTGGAGCTCACATTCTAGTATTGGGAAAACAGACACAACTCAAGCCAGTACGTGAACAAGATAATTTCAGGTGGTGGTAAGCGCTGGGAAGAAAGCCAGGAGGTAATAATGGGTTGCAAATAGGCAGATGAGAAAGATAGTACTGGGTTGGGGGAGAGACGTGATTTAGATTCGAGCTCACTGCTGGCGTTTGAAGAGGGACCTGAACTGGTTAGAGGAGTCGGACACCTGGCGACTTGGGGAAGAACATTCTAGGCAGAGGGAACAGCAAGTGCCAAGGCACTTTCTGTTAGGCATATGATAGGTTCTGGGGCCACAAAGATAAATAGGTATAGTCCTTTCCCCTGAAGAGTTCATTATTTTGGAGGGGAGGCAGAAATTATAGCTGACACCCTTTTGGGGGAATCTACCTGGACCACAAACCAATGACTCCAACCCTACTTTCTCCAGGAACTTGCACCCTCCAGGGCTGCTGGTCTGTGGAAGCTGTGTTTGTGGTTCTGCGAGCCAAGTATCCTGCTATGGCGCTTTGCACCAGGAAGATCACCTGACTTAAGCAGGACCAATCATGTTTCCTTCTCCCAGGACCACTGAGTGTGGCTTCAAGCCCTATCCCTGCGGCTGGCCCTAGAACATTAACTCAAACACAGTTTGAGCAGCTGGTGTTAGGGTTTCCAACCCTCCCAATGCCCCAGAGTTGAGAGGTGTCCGAGGTGAAACTAGAAGAATCCCAGGCAAACCAGGGTGGTGGTCACACTATGCCCTGTGTGCCAGGCTGAGTGTCAAAGCTGAGAATTTAGTTGCTGTGGGTGGTCAGACCCATCACTGTGGCTGGAGCAGAAGAGGAGACTGGTCTGCAGAGAGGAGGATGGAGGAGAGCTGGGGAGCAGAGAGTGCCGGGACTGATTCTCTTCTTGGTCCTAGGGCCGTCCCAAAGCCAGCCTACTATATCCCTGACTGGCGTGGATTCTCAGACACCCATTTCCTTGCAATAACTCTCTTTTGTCCACTTACATGAGCTGCAGGGGGTTTCTGTTACTTGCAGCCAGAGTCCCAATTGATAGAGACAATGTCTGTCAATAACGGTGACTCAGGAACTGTGTGCACTCACAAAGGTGTCTGCAGTCCTGCGTGCAGCAGGGGGACCTGAGGATGTGACCTGCCCACTTGGCTGCGCCCCCAGGAAACCCCTCCCCAGCTCAGTGTGTGGGCTGTGTCTCTCAACTCCCAACAACTTCATCTGACCCTCTCTTACGACACTTCGCGCCTCCTCCTGTCTACCCGGTATATTTCCTTCTGGATTGTAAAGATTCATGGACAATTCATCTTTGTACTTCTTCCCATACATGTGTCTTTCGTATGGAAAGTACTCAGTTTGATTATTACATGTAATAATCGAAGGGTTCCAGACATCCAGGGGAGTGTGAATATTCTTAACGGCTGATAATAACCTCTTGCACTTGCTGCAGTAGAGAAAGCATTTTCAAGTTCATTTTCTGCTGGGCATTCAACTCTTCAGAATTTAGATATTAATAATGACAATAACAATAATAGCAGCTGCTATTTATTTTGTACCTATTCTATATGTGAAGTAAGAAGAAAAAAGCCCTGCAGGTTCAGAGAGAGGAAGAGATTTGCCCAAGATCCCCAAATTTATATGCCACAGATCTGACCCCAGGGGCTTGTTTTTAGGTTGCAAACCCGTGCTCTCTGCCAGAGCAGCAGGATCGCAGGGGCAGAGTGCAGGCTGCTCAAGCCCTCCCTGGGTGCTCCGTGGTCTGATTCAGGTCCTCTGGGCAGGCCCTGGCTCTGCCCTGACTCCCTTGGGGACAGCAGGCTTAAGGTCACTGGGTTTGCCAGTCTGAGTAAGTCAGGCGAATTCTCCTCTCGCTTGGTGCCACTGTGGTTACCATGGCATCTTCCCTAGGCTCCTCTCAGTGTAAACCTGGGGGCGAGCTGTTTTGAAGCAAACGGGAAAACAGAGAAATCTTCCCAATAATGCAGGCAACTTTCAAACAGCCTGCCTCTCCTTGAAATTCCTTCCAGTGCCTCCCAGGTGGGTCTTGGGGCCATAGAGCCCAATCCCTCCATTTCACAGATGAGGAAACTGAGGCCCAGGGTGCTTAGTGTTTGACAAAGAGGTTTTGTGCCTTGGTCAGGAGGGTCTCTGGAGTCAGAGACCTGCATTCCAGTCCATCCCTGGCATGACATGGGACAAGCTCCTGAACTGCTCTGAGTCCGGGATTCCTCACCTGTAAACTGGAGATTGTGACCCTCCTTCCCTGAAAGAATTAGGTGAAGGATAAAATCAAATCACACACATACAAGTGCTTCCAGAAGTGCCTGTCATTTGAAGAGGTGCAGTTGCCCAGGGTCACCCTGCCAGATATGAGGGATAGCGCATTGTTGCCAGATTCAGGAAACATGGGTTCTGGTCTTGACTCTGCTCCTAATGGGCTTTCCCATGTGAGCCCTCAGCATCTTTTTCTGTAACTGAAAGGAGATGGTGCCTAAGGTCTTGTCCAGGTCTGAATTCTGTGCAGCTGGTGACAGATTACTGTCCTAGGGCTCCGACCACCCTGGCAGAATGGCTCTCGGACCCAGCCAGGATGCTGGCCGAGGAGCCTGACAGTCCTTTGATGGAGAGGGAGAGATGCCTCTGACCTCTGAGGGCAGAATGGCCCACGAGGGCGGGGCTGGCAGCATTCGGGCTGGGTTCCCAGCACCCACCTCTGGTTCAGGGTCCTGCCCAGGCTTCATGGGGACAGGCTGGGGAGGACAGGGATGGGCAGGGAGAGAAGGATACCTTGAAGAAGGAGGCTGTACTCATCTGACAAGGTCAACTGAAAGCAATTTTAACACCCTTTGCATCAGAGTGCGGAGATGAGAGATGGGCAGAGGCCATGCTCCTGAGAGCAATCACTGAGGGGGAAGGAGGAGGAGAGAAGGAAGTGGGCGGCCCTAGGGACTCCAGTGGAGGGAATGGGAACTCCAAATGGGGAGGAGGAGGTTTGGGATGGAGTGAGAAGCTGGAGGAAATAAGCAGAGAAAAAAAAGTAGGGAG